TTACCTGAAAATTCAGACCAGCTTAATGTGGATGAGAGTGTTAATATCTGTGTGGTTTTACAATAATGTTCTTTATTATAACATTCTTTCCATGTAATATTTTAAAAGAAAGTGTGTTCCCCTGTACAGTTTCCACTGTTGACTATGGCCATTACAAGCAGCTAAATTTTCTTAAATTCTTAACGTTTGGTATTGAACTTATAAATTAGTTATTTGTCCTGTTTCATTCATTAAGCCACTTGATAAGAGAAATGCAGGGTTTTTATTACACCCTCTAGCCATCATAAAATGAAGACCATGCAGCATGTGAACTCCTTTACAGGGACTCTCAAGTGTCTTGCCAGCTGTCCTAAACATTGCATTCCAGAAGTTTTGTTAGAAGTTGTGCCCCAGTCTGTTTTACCCGGTATGTTATTTAGCATCAGAGTCTTGCAAGACAGATCTATAAAGTCTTAAGGGATCTCAGTGCAACCAGCAGCTTTCCTCCCTTTAAATTTATCTGTGGCAAAAAAAGCAGTTGCATTTGTTCTCTGAGGCAAGATTATAAAGGGCTTGTATTAGGGAGGCAGCAATTCCAAGCAAAAACTTGGAACACGGAGAACGGAACCTGTGGGCCAACTCTGTTGATGCGATGAATCCAGCCTTGATCACTGATTGCTCCTCTTCAGTTAACTTATGGGGAAGACAGCAAGCAAAAGAACTCTGGAACTTGATCTGCCATATGATCTGTTTTCCCGCAGGCTCAGTCTTCCCTACTGAAACTACTGTCTTTCAATGGGTGGTTGCAGAATGTGAGGTGAATGTCTGAACAGAAAAATAGGCCAGTGTATGTGCAACTCTCAAAAATTATTTACTTTTTGTTTTACTGCAGAGATTATTTTTTCCTTGGTGCTTTTGGTAGTATGTTAAGTTATTTTGATCACTTGAAAAACAAAAAGGTAATTAGTTTAAAAAAAAAAGGTGCAGTCCTAGACATGTCTACTCAGAAGTAAGTATCCTTCTTTAGAGTGATACTGACTCTTCATTAAGTCTTAAGAACTCTGTGTGTGCTTGGCAATCAATATTGCTTAAGAGGATATTTTTAAAATAAGTACCAAGAGAGCTGTGTTGTTCAGAAGTCTTGTCAAAAGCTGGATTTTATTGGAATGCTACTTTCCTGTCATAACCAATTTGTTCCAGAGATATGTTATAATCACATGGACTCTCTTCAAAGTATTGATCTGCAGTTCAGTTCCATGGAATAGCTACACTTTTGACACAAGACTGTTTGAAAATTAAATGCTTTACAATGGACTCTTACTCTTACTGATGTTCCAACTTAATATTTCTCTGCTGAGCACATGAGAATAGGCTATATTTCACCTTCTACTAGTGTGGGTCATTTTGGGGAAACTCAATCTTCATAATGCTGCATTTCAGAAACAGATGTGCAAAATAATTAACATAAAAGGGAAATATGGGACACAAGGGCGTTGTTTATTATTTCTTTAGAATATTTATTCCCTGCCCTTCAACCAAAAAGCCTCCCTGGGCAGATTAGAAATCTTTAATTTGACAGTTTGCTGTCCTCAGGATTACAGTTTAACTAAGACATGAAGCATAAGGAAAAAAGGAATGGCAGTGGGGCAGGGGATTAAGCCTAGCAAACTTTGGAGGCCAGAGCAATGGCAGTTGGAAGGGAGGGGGAGCTGAGGCCGAGGCATGATGGAGCTATGCCTGCCTTTTCTACTCTCCCTCTGAGGCCAGGACAGGGGCCATTGGGATGGAAGGAGAGCCTGGGTCAAGGCATGATAAGGGTATATAGCTGGCCTTCCACATTTGCAGAGTTGATTACTATGTTCTCTCTAGGAATTGGGTCCTCCAGTGCAAGTCGGCCAGAGGTTGACCATAGAGTTGTGCTGGAGAACCTAGAAGGTCCTAGAGAAAACACTTCTCTAGGCATTTGTAGGTCCTCCAGCATGATTCTATGATCAACCTCTGGCAGATGTTGACCATAGAGTTGCACTGGAGGACCCCGAGATTCCTAGAGAGGTCTTCTGTTAGGTTAAAAGAATAATGTTTTTTTTTTTTTAACTGTTTTTTCCCCACATTCATGGGGTTCCTTCACCCCTAACCCCAGTGGATGTGGAGGGATCACACTGCTGGATTCCAATGCAGTTGTGATGGAGTGGCGGCTATGAATCAGGAAGTCCTTGGCGTAAGTCTTGCCTCTTCCTCAGCCATAGCTTGCAGCTTCAGGCCTACCACTCGGAATAGGAGAGCATAAAACACTGACTTTTCTCAAAGATTTATTGTACAGATTATAAAGTAGGCATGGTGTGTATGTGAAGCTCTTTGGACACGTGAAAGTCTGATGTACAAATGCTAAGCATGACCATTGTGAGGTTCTAACAGTCCAAAGATGGTGCTTTTCACTTTCCTTTTAAGCTTAAGAGCAGCTTTTGTGTTACAATTGAAAAATGCTCCCTTGAGTCTGGAGACAATCTTGGAAGAGTAATTGCTGGCCCTAAGCTCTGCACACTCCTTCTGTCTTTGCTCCTTGCCAAGAGGGGAGAAGGTGGGACAAAAGAAATGGGAAGATGAGCCCTTCTCAATCTACTTGCAGTTATTTCTGTCTCTTGATCAATAGAAAATGCTTGATAGTATTTTCTGTCTCTTGGAAATGAGGGAAACAGTTGCCCAAGGGATATTTATTTGAAGATCCAGTTTTGGTTCTGCTGATTAACATTTGCAAGAAGCGTTTGTGCTATGCCAAAATAATCCCCAAATTTAAAAGTGAGTGTCTTGGATAAAACAAGACAGGCTACATGTCCTTCCAGAGATATCAGGCTTGCATTTTCTCTTGGTTTCAACCACGGAGTCTGTGCCTAGACACAGTGAAATTATCTGTACAAAAACAGCTGCAAATCCACATGCCATTTGGTGCAGCAGGGCAGATTTGCTTAAATCTGTTAATGGTCCAAAATAGCCAGCAGGGAAGATAGTTACTGTGGAAAGCTTGAATGTCTTGGCACTTGAGCCCAAACCGCTGCATGCTACTATAAAACTCTTTGCTTGTTCTCAAGGTGCAGGATTTCCCTAATCGAGGAGGTACAATGAAATTGGTCAACAAGTCAATGGATCCAGTGAGGTGCAATTTGTTCCTAAATTCTGTCCAGTCTGCGGAGAATTTCTGCTGCTGTTCTTACAGCAAGCTTTTAAAAGCAGAAGACAGAATATTCAAATTATAAGACAACATTATAGTTAATATCTCCTCTGCTGGCCTGGCTCTTCTTTCATGCTTCAGGAACAAGGTGTTGGCTAATTCAAAATTGGCCACCAGGTCCTTCTGCTCTTCTTTTCTCTTTCTCTCCATCTCAGTCTTGTAAAGAAGTAGTTTGATGTCTCAGTTAAATCTGATAGGAGTGATTGAAACCAGAGAATCACATTCCTGCTTCGTGTTTAACTTTCCATCTTTTTCAGAGAAATAGCCATGTTAGTCTGTAGAATCAGTATGTAGAGAGATCTTGTAGCACCTTTGAGACTAACTGGAAGAAAGAAGTTGGCAGCATGAGCTTTCGTAGACTTCAATGCATCTGAGGAAGTAGACTGAAGTCTACGAAAGCTTACGCTGACAGTTTCTCTCTTTCAGTTAGTCTCAAAGGTGCTACAAGATCTCTCTACATACTGTTTCCATCTCTTTGTTCAGGAAGTTACAGTTGGCCCTCCACATTTGTGGCTTTGAGTTTTACAGATCTGATTAATATGTCATCTCTAGGAATCTCTAGGTCCTCCAGCATGACTCTATGGTCAACTTCTGCCAAAGTTGCACCCAAAGGACCTAGAGATTGCTAGAGAGAACAGTTCTCTAGGCATTTGTAGGTCCTCCAGCACAATTCCATGGTCAACCTCTGGCAGATCTTGACCATCGAAGTCCCCTGGAAGACCTAAAAGATTCCTAGAGAGACATTCTCTCAGGTTAAAAAAAATACTTTTTTATTTGTGGTTTTTCTACTTTGATTTATGCCCCATACCCAATGAATGTAGAGGGTCCACTGTATATGGGTGATTTTGCATCATTTACAGAGCAAGAATGGCACACATGTTACCTACCAAACAACATCAGAGAGCAAAAGTTATTAATGAGGAAAAACAATCAAGCAAGGAGAGGATGCAGCAGTTTGTTTTTGCCTGAGCATCCTGGGAAAGAGGCTTTCCCCTCCACCCTTTTACCTGCTGAGTTAACTGAGTGCAGACTACTTTCTGCATTTTGAGCTCAGTTTGCAGCAATGGAAGTAAAAATGGAGGAATCATAGAGTTGTAAGAGACCCCAAGGGCTATGGAGTCCAACCCCCTTCAGCCATGCAGGAACTCTCAATCAAAGCATCCCTGACAGGTGGCTATCCAGCCTCGGTTTAAAGAGCTCCAAAGAAGAAGAGTCCACCAAAATCTCCATTGAGGGAGTGTGTTCCACTGTCGAAAAGCTCTTACTGTTGGGAAATTCTTCTTAATGTTCAGCTAGAATCTCTCTTCCTGGAGCTTGCATCCATTGAGGTTGCATTGTTTCCTATTCTCTGGAGCATCAGAAAACAAGCTTTCTCCCTTCTCAATATGACATCCCTTCAAATATTTAAACAGGGCTATCATGTCCCCTCTTAACCTCCTCTTTTCCAAGCTAAACATACCCAGCAGCTCCCTAAGCCTCTCCTCATAGGGCTTCATGATTTCCAGAGCCTTTACCATTTTAGTTGCCCTTCTTTGGACACTCTCCAGCTTCTCAACATCCTTCTTGAATCGTGGTGCCCAGAGCTGGACACAGGATTATTCCAGGTGAGGCCTGACTAAAGCAGAATACAGTGGCTCTAGATCTAGAATCTAGATACTATACTTCTATTAATGCAGCCTAAAATTGCATTGGCCTCAGCCAAGTAAGTGGGCTGTAATTTTGGGGCAGAGCAGTTCCCCACATGGGGACACAGGTGCTTTGTGTGCATTTTAAATTCCTCTATTCCCCCCCAAGAGACAGTGTGGTGTAGTGGTTGGAGGATTGGACTACAACTCTGGGGACCAGGGTTCGATTCCCTGCTTGGCCATGGAAACCCACTGGGTGACCATGGGCAAATCCCATTCTGAAGACCATGAAAAAACCACATCTGAAGAAACTTGGCAAGAAAACCCCAGGAAGGGTTCGCCTTAGGGTTGCCATAAGTTGGAAAAGACTTGAAGGCACACAACAACAACAACAGTCCCCCCAATTAATTAAATTCCGCAGAAGAATCTTTCTGAAACAGGAGAAGAGCAACTCCATGGAGAGGGATTCTGCTCTACAACATGGCCCTATCTTCCGGCAGAAAATCTGGTTAACAGGGAGGGCTGGAAGTTATTTTTTTCCCCATTGGAAGGCTGGAGTGACCCTTGGAAGGTCCTGGGGTGCCCGCTTTCTCCGTTATTAAAGAATCTGACTTGCCATTTGACAGCTGAAGAGAGGACTGACCGCCAAGCCTTTGAGGAATGAGAACGCTGTGCAGCCTTCTGCCTCCTCCCTTGTTTTCTTTCAGGTCTGGGGCACGGAGGAGGCTGTTAAGGGAACCCACTGTTCTAGTAAAGCAAGGAGGAACAGTTCAGGTACTTTATTTTTGTTTCTTGCTGTCCATATGGCTGAATGGTTCCTCCTTCGTATCCGGCCCCAGCAGGACACCTGCGTGCTGGACATCCATAAATGCTCCAAAGCTCTTCAGAAAGGAGCCCTTGGAAGGTCAGTTCCTCACCTTCCTTTCTTCCTAAGAAGAGTTTTGGCTGGGTATGAGAAGAAGAAGAACATTGCCATGAGTAAAATTCTTTGCACTGGGCTGTTCCTTCTGTTCTGTGCTTTGGCTGGTAAGTCCTGGGAGTTTTATTTATCAATATATGCACATGTGGGTTAATCGTTGGACTATGACTCTGGGAGACCAGGGTTCGAATCACCCCTCACTTGTGGAAACCCACTGAGTGACACTGCTCTTTCAGCCCCAGAGGAAGGTTTCCCAACAATGGCAAACTGAGGCAGAATAAACCTTTGCGAGAGCCAGAATGGTGTTGGACTAGGACCTTGGGAGACTGGGGTTTAAGTCCCCTCAAAGCCATGGAAACCGGCTCCGAACAAATCTTGCCAGAGTCAGAAAACATCTAGGGATAGCCGTGTTGTCCATAGAGCAAATCCAATCACATCCCAACAATTATGCCTTTATTGGGCCAACCAAAATGCACAATTACATGTTGGGAGCTTTCAAAGTCACACTGGCTTCTTCATCAGGCAAACAGGATAAAAACATTGAAGTTGTTAGTCTTAGGCCTGCATTTTCTGGGCTCGTTCCCACTTACATTTAAACCAGTTTGCAATTTGCCTTTCTTTCATGTCGGTGAATCGATTCCAAAAGGTCCATCGTTCTCACTATGAAAGTGGATCTTTTCATTATTCCCTTGTAATTGCTTCTTTTTTGGCCAACAGTTACCTTTGCTTTTTGTCATCCTTGAACCATTATTTTTAATCCAGTATACATAAGCTGAGCCAGGGTAGTGTAGTGTAGTGGCGTGAGCTTCGGACTACAACTCTGGAGAACGGGGTTCGAATCTCCACCTGGCCATGGAAACCCATCGGATGACCTTGGTCAGTTCACACACACTCAGCCTCAGAGGAAGGCAAAGGCAAAACGTCCTATGAATAAACTTTGCCAAGAAAACCCCGTCACCGTAGAGTCAATATACACTCGCCATAAATTGAAAACTAATTGAAAACACACAACATTTTTTTTGTTGTTGTTAACTGCCCTCGAGTCGATCTGGACCCATGGTGGCCCTATGGATGAGAGATCTCCAAGAAGACCCCTGTCCTCCCCTGCTCTGCTTAAATCCTGCAAGCCCTTCATGAATCCCCAATGGGACCTCCTCCATAATAGAGTCCCTCCAAATGGCAGCATCTGGCCTTCCTCTCTTCCACCTTTCCCAGTCTTTTCTATTGAGTCCTCCCTTCTCATGATGTGTCCAAAGTACGACAGGCTACTCTCAGGACAGAAGACAGAGAAACAGAATGGTTCCCATTTGGCAAAGGAGTCAGACAGGGTTGCATCCTTTCACCCGATCTGTTCAACTTGTATGCAGAACATATTATAAGAAAAGCAGGCTTGGACACAGAAGAAGGAAGAGTGAAAACAGGAGGAAGGAATATCAACAATCTAAGATATGCGGATGACACCAGAGTACTAGCAGAGAACCTCACAGACCTGGAACATCTACTAGGGAAGATCCAAGAAGAAAGTGCAAAGGCAGACTTAATGCTGAACATAAAGAAAACAAAAACAATGACCACCAAGGAGGACCTTCACAAGTTCAACATCTAGGCAATGAAGAAATAGAAATAGGAAAAGAATTCCCATACTTGGGATCAAAGATGGATAGAAATGGGGACTGCATTCAGGAAATCAGAAGAAGACAAAGAATGGAGACAGTGGCTATGAAAGAACTAGAAAAGATCCTAAAATGCAAAGATATACAACTCAGCACAAAAGTTAGAATCATACAAGCCACTGTATTCCCTATTATTCCCATGGATGGATGGAAGAGCTGGAGAGTCAAAAAAGAAGACAGGAAGAAATCCAATGCCTTTGAGAGAATGTGGTGCTGGAGAAGCGTGCAATATATATACATATACATATACATATATATAAGCATACATAAATATATAAATATATGGACAGTTGAGAAAGAGGATAGGAAGAAAATCAATGCCTTTGAGAGAATGTGGGGCTGGAGAAGATGCTGAGGATCCCATGGAGAGCCAAAAGGACCAACAAAGGGGTCCTAGAGCAGATCAAGCCAGAAACTTCCCTGGAAGAAGAAGCCAAGATGACCAAACTGAGGCTGTTGTACTTTGGACACATCATGAGAAGAAGAGAGGACTCTTTGGAAAAGACAATGTTTTATTATTTAGGTGGTGGAAGGTGGAGGAAGGTTTTCCCAACCTTGATCTACATACAGTGAAGATAAATTGTAACTGAAATCCTTCCTTCCTTCCTTCCTTCCTTCCTTCCTTCCTTCCTTCCTTCCTTCCTTCCTTCCTTCCTTCCTTCCTTCCTTTATAGCCCCTGCAGACTCAAATGGGGAGAGATGGGCTTTCAGACACTCTGGGCCTAAGCCGTATAGGGCTTTATAGGTCATGGACAACACTTTCAACTGGATATGAACCCATCACCAGTGAAACTCCTTCTGTGCTCCCAATAGTAACCAGTCCCCATAATGGAATAGGCCCCATTGGGGTCTGTGCTGATGCCTGTCTTTTCCATTTGATGCAGCCGAAAGCCTCCGGTGCAAAATGTGTTTCCGCGTTCGTCGGCACGTGCCGTGTAAAACCACCGCCGTCTGCGTGGCAAAGCCTGGACAGTTCTGCCTCAAAGTTCAGCTTAAGTTTCGTAAGTCGGGCCTTTGATTCTCTCTGAAGGACGGCCCTGGGATGGGCAGGAGAACAAGCCCTGGCTTTGCCTCTCCCAAAATAGGGGCACATTGGATGCCTCTCCCACGATGGAGGTTGGTCCCCTTGCGGAGCAGTGGTTTGAGCACTGGGCTTTGGAGGCCAGGGTTCGAATAGCCACTTGGCCATGGAAAGCCACTGGGAGACCTTGGGCGAGTCACACACTCTCAGCCTCAGAAAACCCCATTGTAGGGTTGCCATAAATCAGAAACGACTTGAAGGCATACAAGAACAACAACAACAAGAGTACAGTGGCATCCGCTGGGGTTTGGTTCCAAGACCCTTTGTGGATACCCAAAAATCCATGAAGGCTCAAATCCCATTATATACAATGGGGCATTATTATTATTATTATTAGCCCTTGGTGTCTGTTGGGGTTTGGTTCCATGACCCACATGGATACCAAAATCCATAGATGCTCAAATCCCATTATATACAATGGGGCATTATTATTATTATTATTATTATTAGCCCTTGGTGTCTGTTGGGGTTTGGTTCCATGACCCACATGGATACCAAAATCCATAGATGCTCAAATCCCATTATATAAAATGGCAGAGTAAAATGGTGCCCCTTATATAAAATGGCAACATGAAAGTTTGCTTTTTGGAATTTAAGCATTTTAAAAATATTTTTAAACCATGGATGCTTGAATCTGTGGATACGGAGGGCTGACTGTATATATAGCTTAATGGTGTGTGTGTGTGTGTGTGTGTGTGTGTGCGTGCAATATTTGGACATTTTCATACCTTCCAACTCTCCTGATTTGGCAGGGACAGTTCTAGTTCATCCTCTGCCATCCCACTTTTTCAGCTGCTCATAAAAATGTCCCGGCTTTCTGTCTCCTCCTCCCGCTTTCTCCTAGTTGCAAGCTGAATTCAAAGTGCAAAAGTAGTTTGCTCTCAATTAATGCAGCAGGGGAGAAGCAAACTTTGTCCGCCATTTCTGACTTGTGTGCTCTTCCTTATCAATAATTTTTGCCACCTTGACCGCTCTCTGATGTTTCTTGGCCAGACGTGTCCCAGTTTTCATCTGTGAGGGTATGGATTGTCCTTCGCTCCTCAAATTCCTAGTAATGCAGAGAGTGAGACCTTTAAACAATTTACACCTGAAACTCCTCTTCTCTTTATTGGGTTACTTTGCCAGACCTTTTATTTGGATGATTAAACTGTATTTCTAAAATCTCAAAAGAGGTTAGGGTTAGTAAATCCCGAAAGTAAAAAGAAGCACATTTTGTCGCCTTTCTGTCCGGGTTCATGTCACATTATTGCTCATTGACCCCAATGTGGTCTGCGGATTTGTTTCAGTTTAAATCCCGTTTTTGCATGGGATCGCACCTGTGTGATAAACTCCATAGAGGGAAACTTAGGCTGCGTCTACACTGTGGAAATAATACAGGTTGACACCAGTTTAACTGCCATGGCGCAATGCTTTTGAATTCTGGGATTTTTTTTAGTTTTGTGAGATATTGGGCCTTCTCAGTCAGAGGGCTCTGGTGCCACCACAGCAAACTACAAATCCCAGGATTCCATAGGATGGAACCAATGGCAGTTAAAGTGGTGTCAAACCGCATTTATTCCGCAGTGTGGC